GAATGAAGCCGGAATCGTGTTTGGGGGTCAACGGATGATAGTTAGAGCGAACGAAGAAACGAGTAGGCATATTGCGCACTGTCTAGTAAAATGGATATAACTTTTTGCTCAGAACTCCATTTGGTCTCCACAATATATGGTTGGAAAGCTAACTCAAAGGCCTACAACTTTCATGTTTTACGTTTTTCCAAATTCCAAATAGAACGGGGCGAAACGCGCAAGATTTGAGCCAAAACGAACAAAATCGGGAAAAAAGGGCCAGTTGGGCGCCAAAAACAGTATGCACAAATATTTGGGCGCTATGGAGGGCGCCTGGCGCCGGGCTGGGCGCCGGTGACGTGAAATGTGTCCTATTTCGCCCGGGACAAGGTTATTTCGGCCCTAGACCTACCCAACACGTATAAAAGCAAGACTAAACCTATTTTTGAAGGAGTGGACGCCACTTTGGTGATATCTAGCACACTTTGAAGGAGAATTCACGTGGGGGAACACACACCACGCTTGGAGGAGGCTTCCAACTAGTTTTTCTTCTCTTCTCTTCCTTCAATCTCATAGTTTATTAGCTCTAGAATTTTGGGTGCTACATGAACGTTGTAGTTTGAAGCTTGAATTGTTCTTATTATTTTATCATATTGGTTTATTTATTCAATCTTGCGCTTAATTATTTGATTGCTTGATCACCAATTGAATACTATCTGCGAATCTAGGATTGAACTCGGGAGAGGAAATTCTTGATTGCATATAAGATTGATTAGAGCAAGACCTTAACTCTGGGGGGGGGGGGGGGGATTTGCGGTTAGGATAGGAATATACCTAATCACCTTGCTTGGTTACTATACAGGAATTATTAGGCGTTGGATTAGCTTGAATAGGCGAGTTGTACTTCGGGAGAGGCTACGAGCAATATTAACCTTGTCAACCAATAAACCAGATAAATTAATTAGACGATTTAAGTGGAAAACTCAACGGGATTGTTAGCTAACCCATAGCTCTAGAATATTCACTCACATTGAATTCGTCTCTATAATTTGCCAACTTATTTTCTTTAATCTCTTAGTTTGTTACTCTAGATTAGTTTAAGTTAATTATTCATACTTTGGGATTCACTTGAGTAGATTAATTGTTTGGGTTTAATTTAGTTGATAGTTAATCACAAGTCCATGTGGGTACGATATCTGGACTTAGAATCCTATATTACTGGTCGACCACGTATACTTGCGTGTATGTTTGGGAGCAACAAGTTTCAACTTATGATATTGATTATTATTATTATTATTATTATTATTATTATTATTATTATTATTATTATGTAGTGCCTTTTTTCTTTCTTCTTTTTGACTTTCACTCATTTAGTGCCAATTTTGTTGACATTTTTGGGTGCTTGCCCGTATTTGTGATACAAATGATCTTCATTTTCTCACGAGGCAAATGAATACCTATTTTTCTTTTTCTTTTTTTTTTGTACAGGTTGGAGCTATTTTATTATAAAAGAAATTAAAGAGAATTTTTCAGCTTGCTAACTAAGGTTGGCAGCTTCCGGGCAACTAAGCTGGTATGGAAAGAATTATTGTGCCGCGAATTTATTTTTCTATGCAAGTTCTCGGTCAAGGTTTTTGAATAGAACTTCTAAAGATATAATTAAGATGTAAGCCATCTCGTACTAAATGGAGCCACTTTTCCATAAGAAATTTTTTTTTCAGAAATTTGAAAATTAGCATTTATTCATTCAATTAACAAAAAGTAATCAACAAAAAAAAATTACAGTGCTGAATAGAAAAAAAAAAACTCAACTAGAGCTAATCCATTATAACTGAAAACATGCACACACACACAACCAAAAAAAAAAAAGGAAGAAGTTAGGCACAAAACTTAGCATTTATTCACCTAGATAAACAAAAAGCAAACACCCAAAAAAATAATAAAGTTAACAACCGTGACACTTAATCTACTGGAACATTACCAAAAAACTTGCAAAATATTTCGTAAATTAGAATTTTTTTAACCCAATCAACCAAAAAAAATTAAAAAAATACAAACCGAATTGAGAGCTGTGATGGGTGTAATTGTGGCGGCTGCTACGCTGTTGGTGCCGTAAATTAAATTTCCTTTTTGCGGCAGTGATACGAGATGTCCAGAAATCAGAATCCATGTGGATAAATGAGGATAAAAAATAGAAAGTGGATATAGCTGAAAATGAGAAGAGGATTAAAGGAAAAAAAATATGAACAGTTAGTAATATTAATTTTTGTTTTATGTTTCTTGATTTTGATGCGTTTGTTGTGGATATTCCTTTCTTTTCTTTTTTTGTAAAATTTTCTGGGATGAATTGTTTGAAAGAGATTTGTGTTTTGCCTTTTCTTGTTGTTTATTTTCGTGTACGGTTCAGATAAAATTAACATTTTTATTATTACATCTGACGTTAGAATTTTTTTTAAAAAAAATCCATCTTGTCAAAACTTATATTATAAACCTAAACAATTAACAAAAAGTCATCTACAATAAATAAAAAAAGCGAAAGAAAAAATGAGTCCGGATAGTTTCTTTTATCTTCAAGGGAAAAGCTAACTCTTCGATTATGGGTTCGATTGAATCAATAACTTTGGTTCAAATTTCATATTTTTTCTAAAATTTTATATTAAATATGTACAAAATTTTAATTTAAAATTCAATAACTTGAAAGCGTAAAAATTGAACGGTTATCCTATTTGGTCACCCACATTTAATCTATACCCACTTTTTAGATTTTTTTTTAACTTGTAGTCACTTTTTAAACAACTTCAGGCCTTTTTCTTCTCTTTCTTCTTCTACTTCTTCTTCTTCTTCTTCGGGTGACTGTTATTTCGTATGGTATTTGTGATCATATTTTAAGGTAGTTTATGATGTTTTATAGTGGTGAGCTGTTATGACACTTTATTTTTTGCTATTGCTTAGGGTTTCTTCTTCATCTTTTTCTTAATTGCAAAATGAGTTCGTTAGATTTATTGTTGTTTTGACATTGATGACTGAGGTTTGTTCTTGATGATATTTGGAGGTTATGTTTCAAATTTGAGCTCATTTGGAGTAGATTTAGGTATTAAATCGTATATTGGATTGTTATAATTCGAAGAACAAATTTCTGTTTCTGGGCAATATGCACTTCAGGACTATTTGGCCTTAAGTGCATGAAAACGTTGATTGCACTTCAGACCTTTCGGCCTTAAGTGCATTTGAAGTGCAATTTTTTATTTCAAACTTATTGTCCTTAAGTGCATGAAACTATTGGTTACACTTCAGACCTATTCGGCATTAAGTACATCTTAAGTGCATTTTTTACTTCAGACTTAGCCTTAAGTACATGAAACCATTGGTTGCACTTTAGACCTATTTGGCCTTAAGTACATCTGAAGTGCAATTTTTCACTTCAGACCTATTTGGCCTTAAGTGCATCTGAAGTGCAATTGTTCACTTCAGACTCATTGACCTTAAATGTAGGAAAACTTTTGTTGCACTTCAAACCTTTTGGCCTTAAGTGCATCTGGAGTGCACTTCAGACTTAATGGCCTTAAGTGCATGAAACCATTGGTTGCACTTCAGACTTATTTGGCCTTAAGTGCATCTGAAGTGCAATTTTTTCACTTCAAACCAATTTTTTAAACGTCAAACCCTATAAGTCTTGAAATTGATCATAAAGTGGATAGGCTTGCATATTTTCTTTTAAAGTAGGTATAAGTTTAACTGTGACCCCAAAACCGGGTATAGATGCAAAGGCCCCTCAAAAACAAAATCCTAGGATCAAGGCCTCTTCCTTTCTCTTGTTTGAGTTCATTTATAATTTTTGGCCTTCTATTTTCGGGTTTAATTTTTATATACGGACAACTTAAAGGATGTTTATGCCATTATCATACTTGTAATTGCCATACAAGATGATAACTGTCTACTATAATCCGTTAAACTAAACAATGGTTCATTGCATTATATATGTTACTAACCTTGCTAGTTTTAGTCATCAACTACATGGTTAAAGCAGAGCGATATATAGTTGAATATGACATGAAGGGCAACAAAATACGTGAGCGTACACATCAGATTTTCCATGCTCATGGGACAAATCTTAGAACTATATCCAGCAACAAAATGTAGACAAGGTTAGATGCTTTTGTTCTCAGTCTTAAGTACAATGAGCTCAAAAGTTGTTCAACATATATATATATACCAGGAGTAATTAAGAAAAACACTCAAGTACTGTCCAGAATTCACTGAAGGGGGTCAGCATCTGACAAATCAGTAAATCATGTATGTAAATATTAAACAAAAATCAAATGACAGTTGCAGGAGAGGATATATGTTTCTTCTTTGGAGCTCCTATTGTACCCTACTTTCAGACAATCTCTTAGACTACACGATAAAACTTCACTTGAACCTTCTGACGTTCATCATAAATCATCGTTGCAATCTGATTGAATACAAAGTATTAGAATGAATCTAAACATAATTTAATCAGCAAGAACTACAATGACAAAAGGCAAATAATACATGCTAAGGATCAGTCCCCTCAGACTGTCTTAGGATTTAAACTTGTACAATAACTTTCTTTCTAACTTCAGCTGTCAAAAAGCAAACAAGAGAACAAGCATACAATCTTAAGACAATATCAAATGAAATCATCCCCCCTCCATTCTCAGCAAAAAGAGGAAAAGTAACTGAGACAGGAGAAAAATTTTGCGCTTTTGGGGATCATCTTTCATTTGAAGAGATGGATACAAGAGACAAAGACGCAACAATCAAGTGGTGTACAAATACTATAAAGAACACGCAACTAAATATCTTTACTAGCAAAGATATACTCTTCCCAGAGATTCATTCTTGAGGCTTGTTTTAAGAACAATCTACATCACCCAAAGACATGAGTACTTGTTGTTGTCCACACGGCTCCCGTTTTAAGTTACTCATGATACAATTTTTTCAGAAGCAACTTGGCAATACACAAATGATAGAAGACATCAATATATTCTCTAGAACAATTCCAGGAAACTAAAATCTGGTAATTATATTGCTTTAGTTAACACCATAATTGTACAGAAATGCACTAAATTCTGGTTCAAATTCAAGCTTTGGCCCTTACATAATCTGTAATTACAATGAGCTAACTCAGGACTTCAAAATGTAAGTACCATTGATAATGATAATATACTTCAATAGAAGCCAGAATTCATAGAAAGGGAAAGAGTCCCATGTTCTTATCAGTACTCTACTATTTATTCTCTTAGACCGCTTGGACATAAAGCTTCACTTGAACTCTTTGACATTCATACATCATCCTTGCAATCTGATTAGACACCCAGTATTAGACTGTCACTTACATCTTAGCAACAACAATTGTAAAGGCAAAATGTATATGCTAAGTGACTTTCAATCCGACAAACTATCTGATTCAATTTTCTCGAGGCTTATTATGGAATTAACTCATCAACAATCAATATCAGCTGTATGATTCACAAATCTGCAAGAAATATGTATTTCTGCGTCAATGTACAATCAAACAGGTACAACAAATACATCAATTGCACATATAAAGGCTCAACGTCATGTCAATGTATATTGATATCTTGGTGAATAACATATCACTCTTTTGGTAAACTGAACCCATAAGCATTTAAAGAGTTCTGATTGAGAATTATATTACAAGAATTTCAGCCACTAGAAGTTTTTTGTTGTAGACTAAAAGGACAAACGAATAAAATGCAACATAACAACAAGTCTACAATCTCAAATCAAATTCTGACTCATCCCCTGACAAAACTCTAATACTACACAAAGGTCACTGTATTTTTAATATTGACAGTAGAGCTCATCTTGTGCCAGAAATAACCACAGGACATGGTTGGTTCCGTTGTAAACACGTTAACCTAATGTTAACAAGTTATACTAGGTATGTGTATTGGCAGAAGGTGATCTTTGTGGTCACATTCTCATATTTTATGGTGAACTCCATTTATGTGCTTGTATAAATTATTGGTTGGGTACACAGTATATGGATGAATAAAGTTAGTTCGACCAAAGTCGAGTAACTATCCAATTACATTGATGAATCGTATATGAATCCATTACGTTAATGTAACTATTAGCTACACTCAGGATTCAACATGAATCCATTAAATTAATGAATGTAACCTTCTAGATTTATTCATGAATTCTTAATATATTAATGAATGATTTCCACTATAGTAGGTACATACACATGGAAAAAATACATTAAATACAAGGAATAATTATGTATTTGGATGATAGTTCCTTTAATCAAGAGGAAAAATCTATTCACCTATTTATATGGCTATTGATGGCTTTGCCATATCAAATGACATTCCAAACATATATAAAGGGGTCTTGGTCCCGCTCTACACTCCCACCTAAGTTTCTAGTATTTAATCAATCATCATAACATATAAAGATAGAGAGATGTAGAGAATGAAGATTGGGACTTGAGTTAGAACCTAAGAACTACCATCAAGTAACAAGACAAGTTAATCTCAAATCCACATGTTTTTAATCTCAAATCAGCTCAAGATACATACTATTATTCTTACCATTTTGTGTTTATAAATTGTTAAGCCTAGAGCATTCAAGCATGTGGTATTTGAGCATTAGGTTGTTGGTTTATGAACTTATAAACTGTTCAATGTTAGCATTATTTAGGTTTATATATGCACTCTACATTAGAATGATTAACTTAGGTGATATAAATGTTTGTTTCACCATAATAGACTCTTTTAAAACTTGTTTCAGATAATTATAAAAAGATTCAATACTATACGTGTTAGTAATTGTCATACAAAAAGGGAAAATTTGTTTCTTTAACTGTTATTGTTTGAACTTGAATTGGAAGTTGTCAAAGTGACGTACAATCACAAAAGGTTAGAGTATTTTAGTATGTTTTCTACGTTCAAATTTTAGTCAATAAAATTAATTAGTATATGTTAATTAAATAATAATAATTTACATATATTAAACATAATCTTACTTAAAGTAAGTTGATACACAAATCTAACTTGTGATGTTGCACCAATAAACTTATTTTTGGTGTTACTGGCTTTAAGGACATTTTCAGTCATTTGGACAGAAAAAGTGATTATCACATGAACAACTTATTTTCAGCTTCAAAACTTCTATTCAAATACATAACTGCAATCATAAATTCAGCTCTATCACATAAAAAGTGCTTTTCAGCACCCGGTGCTTATAAGCTACTTGAATTCAACTTGCCCAAAAGGGCTCTATTCTTCAACAAACATGCATAAAATCAAGCACCCTACAAACTAATCCTCGTATGGATCCATATAATACTATAAAAAAGATGTAAATATACCTTCAAGAGTCCAACCATAGCACCGAGAAGTGCCAGATAACATGGAATTCAGCAATGCAGAGGCAGTAGCAGTGTGATATGGAAACAACGTTTCCGCTCTTATACAGCTCATTTCAACAGGTGACCTACAAAATATAAGGAAAAAATGTATCTGGTTCAATATTATACAGAAACAATTAATGATAAATATCTTGGTGAAAATTTATACTCCATCCGTCCCAATTTATGGTCTAAAACAAGTCTGTATGGGTCAGAATCCGATCTCACGGTAATTAACGGAGTTAATCTCGTCTTGAGCTAATCCATAATTAATAAGTGGTATGGCCACTTATTCATAACAGGATTCGACTCTTGTCCGATTTAATCTACGAGGGCACGGCCCATTCATTCCCCCATGGGGACGGAACCTCAGCGTGGCCACGGCCATTTATTGCCAGCTCACGAAGCTCACATCTATAAATACTAAGAGCGGAAGCCCTAGAAAGGGGGCGGCTTCTGGACCACTATTCACAAAAGAGAGAGAGAAGAGAAAAATATACCCATCTTATGGGAAGAGAAAACACCATTGTAAGGCTCTGAACCTCTTCATGGAAAGGCAGACCAAACCAATATTGTCAATAAAAGCTGTTAAGATTTCTTCTCCTAACCTTGAGTACTCATTTTCATGTTCTTCGCTTGGTCCAATGGATTATTATGATTTGCTATGATTTTCCCGTAACTTATTTGTATTGTTTTGCACTCATAAAGCACGATAACTTTTGAGCAAACAATTTGGCGCCGTCTGTGGGGATTTCATAGCAAATTCGCATTGTTCTTCCATGGACCAAAAGGAAAGAAACGCTGGAAAAGGAAGAACAACCCAGCTTAAACAAGCCAAAGCGGCATATCAGGCCGATGGAACTCGAAGATCTCGAATCGAGATCCAGTTCCTCTGTCTCTCATCTATCGGATGGTGCAAACAAGAAGAAGAAGCCCCCCCCCCCCCTCTTTTGGGGAGAATCTTCGTAAGAGATCTCCCACATCCCTGATAAGGGCTCCAGCCGGAAACCAGCACGGAGGAATCTCGAATCGAGAATCGCTTCGAGACAGCCTACATACCCCGGTTGGGAAGATAACGATTAAGCTGCTCAAGATCTCGAATCAAAACCGAGCTTCAGCTCCCAAAAACCCACGAACCAAGACAGGCTATGCGCCTTCACCAAAACAGTTCAACTACGGTTGAACCAAGACAGGCTATGCGCCTTCGCCAAAAAGTTCAACTACGGTTGAACCAAGACAGGCTATGCGCCTTCACCAAACAGTTCAACTACGGTTGAACCAAGACAGGCTATGCGCCTTCACCAAACAGTTCAACTACGGTTGAACCAAGACAGGCTATGCGCCTTCACCAAAAAAGTTCAACTACGGTTGAATCGGGACTCAGGCTATGCGCCTTCACCAAAAAAAAAGTTCAACTACGGTTGAACCAAGACAGGCTATGCGCCTTCACCAAACAGTTCAACTATGGTTAAACCAAGACAGGCTATGCGCCTTCGCCAACAAGTTCAACTACGGTTGAACCGGGACTCAGGCTATGCGCCTTCGCCAGTAAGTTCGACTACGGTTGAACCAAGATTCAGGCTATGCGCCTTCGCAAAAAAGTTCAACTATGGTTGAACCGGGACTCAGGCTATGCGCCTTC